ATACATTGTGGCATAGCCACCAGACACCTACAGTCAAAATATTCCTGGACAGAACTTGAGCTTCAAAGATTTGCTACTACCGTCCAGCAGTCCTCACGCGAGCTATCCGTTCTCACTCTACAAAGAAGGGACAAACCCAGTAAGTAGGCCACTATTCTTGCATTCCTGACTATTAGCATATATGTCATAACATAGTCGATGGATTGTCAAAGACTATACTGGCATCAGAAAGTAGAGTTATGCATCAGAATATGCACACTAACAATATAAAGTGAGCATTGTTCAAAAGTCGAAGTATCTAATATTTCCTGGACTGGTAGTTACATTGATGCTTATCTCAGTCACAGTCAGATAGTCATATAGGGTACTTACTCACACACTTGATCCCCAGTGCGCTTGATGGTTTTGATAGGCTGAAGCCTTGCAAGACACGACTCTCTCCTTGCACCTTTAGGTGAGAGGGCATTACACCACCATTGGAGGACCCAATGCGTAGTGCCCATAACAATTTAGGGGGCGCGACCCACCCTGTTATTTACAGTTATATCTCAACTCTACTCGTATTATTGGAGTCGGGGTAGAATCAAAACTTGCAAGCAAAATAGAATATCCACTACCAATGGAGGACCCATTGCAAAGTGGCCAAAAGTCACATATAACAAAGTTCATATAATAGCAACAGAATATCCACTACCAATGGAGGACCCATTGCATTGTGGCTAGAAGTCAAATATAACAGAGTTCATATAACAGAAACAGAATATCCACTACCAATGGAGGAACCATAGCGTAGTCGTCAGAAGTCACATATAATAGGGTTCATGTAACAGAAACATAATATCCACTACCAATGGAGGAACCATTGCATAGTGACTAGAAGTCACATATAACAGAGTTCATATGACATAAATAGAATATCCACTACCAATGGAGGACCCATTGCGTTGTGGCCAGAAGTCATATATAACAAAGTTCATATAATAAAAACAGAATATCCACTACCAATGGAGGACAAATTGCGTAGTGCCCAGAAGTCACATATAACAGAGTTCATATAACAAAAACAGAATATCCACTACCAATGGAGGACCCATTGCGTAGTGGCCAGAAGTCACATATAACAGAGTTCATATAACAGAAACAGAATATCCACTACTAATGGAGGACCCATTGCGTAATGGCCAGAAGTCATATATAATAGAGTTCATATAACAAAAATAGAATATCCACTACCATTGAAGGACCCATTCCGTAGTGGCCAGAAGTCACATATAACAAAGTTCCATGTATACGCATGCATAGAATTCATTCATTCGTACTTTACTCTTTTCAAAAGATCAGGACCATTCAATATTTGTGGGATCATAAGCATGATAATTAAATCACCTTGCAAAAGGGATTAAGATGTGTTCAGAAAGACGCATCGATGCATGACATGTGCATAATTCATGTGCAACTTAAAATTTATTGTTCTCGTTATCACTCATAGGCATATGCAAAATAAGGCATGGCACCCAAAATATGAAGGGAAATTCAATTTGCTAATAGAACAATACTGGATCAATTGAGGGTTCAATATATCGTTTCGGACCTTGCTAAATTCATCCAATAGTGACATAGGTTCACAATTCGAAACATAACTTGCAATCCAGCTGGAATTTCGAAACAACTTAAACAAGAAACTTTTAGTGGGCATTCAAATCATTCAAACGGTTGTTGTTTCGGAGCATATGAACCCCGTTTAGCCAGCCAAAATTCATGGCCACAGAGACAAAAATTCTGAGTTTCTATAAGGTTTGTCAACAATGACATACTAGAGCATTCTTGAGTATAGCTCTTCATCTACATAGAATTTGGGCAAGGTTGAAACATGAAAATCATAGAATACTCATCCATCTATCAAATGGTTGTATTTTTGTATCATTTGGACTTCATTAGGTTAAGAAAAGTATTAGTACAATAGGAGCAATATTTCTAGAAATTATCACAGTTTGCTAACAATGATATACATGCATAAAATAAAATATATCTTCCAAACTAGCAAGAACATCAACTGGACATAAACATCAACCTCAAATTACACTCAGAGATCTTTCAAATGGTGGCGATTTGTGGCCAAATGGATATAATTTTCTTAGTCAAAATCTCATTACAAGAACATGTAAAATCCCTGGAAAATCAAAATCCAGCCATCCCTTCCAAAATCATCTCCTAACTCTTAATCTATACGGGGTAAATACATGAAACAAATTTTAGCTTGAACTAGACTCACAAGAGTATCATCCCATAGAAATTTAAGGCCATCAAAAAGGATTTCAGTGTTCATTTTTATCACGCAAAAGAAGGAAACTTTCTGGAAAATACAGTCACCATTTTTACACATGCTTATACTCAACTAGGCTGGAACCATACTTTATTAATGTTCCATGCTTATGGGTCTGCAAGGTAGTGATCTACTTACCTTTTGTGTCCCCAAAGGTGATCCTAATCTCCTTCCATAGTCCCCTCCAGCAAGCTTTCCCAAACTCTCCAACAATGAAACAAAGGGCTAAGCTTGAGCTTCAAAATGTGAGGTGTAGAGAGAGAAAGAGTGGTTTTGTACTCTAAAGGTAAGGAGGTGGCTTTCTATGTTCACCAAGTGGCCTTTGCATGAAAGGAAGGTTGACATTTGGTGCACAAGGCAGCATGAAGTCAACAGGTGGCCGGCTTACTTTATGCACGGCCGTCTCTTCTTCTCCCTTTGTCGTGTGAACACTTTCCCTTTTCTCTTCCTCTATCCTCCTATCGCTGTGCGCTCTCGTCGCGGGACACTCCTATCTTCTTCCTCTCCGCACCTATTGCCGCGCGCACTCCTTCCTTCTCGCCTTGTGCCTTCTTCCTCTATCACTGCGAGCCTTCTTCCTCTATCACCATGTGCCTTCTTCCTCTATCGCCACGTGTTTTCTTCCTCTATTGCTACTCACCTTCTTCCTCTATCGCCGCATGCCTTCTTCCTCTATCGCCACACGCCTTCTTCCCTTATCGCCGCGTGCCTTCTTTCTTCTTTCCTTATCATCGCGTGTGTGCACTCCCCTCTCTTCTTCTTCTTCTACTATCACCAAGCACACACTCGCGTGGCACCCTCTCTCTCTTCTGCTTTCACCACACGCTCTTCTTCCCCTATCGACACGCGGTAGCGACTTCATCATGCTCAAGAATTTTGGGTCGTTACATCATCCCCCCCTTAAAAATATTTTGTCCTCAAAATCATGTCTCGATTGATTAAAAAACTAGGGGTACTTATTTCGGATCTCATCTTCTCATTCCCATGTTGAATCTTCCTTTGAGTGGTACTGCCATAGAACACAAACCAGGGGGATTTCTTTATTGCACAAAACCTGTACCCTCCTGTCTAGAATCTTTATCGATTGCTCGATATAAGTCAGGTCTTCCTTGACTGTTAATAGCTCTTACTTCAAAACATGAGAGGGGTCAGGCTGATATTTCCTCAATAAAGACACGTGAAACACATCACGGATATTTGCTAACTCAGGTGGTAGAGCAAGCGGATAAGTCATACTTCCTACTCTTTCCAGAATCTCAAATGGTCCAATAAAACTTGGGGTCAACTTTCCTTTCTTACTGAACCTCATATTACCCTTGGTCAGTGATACCTTCAGGAAAACCTAATCACCTACCTCAAATTCAAGGCTTCTTCTTCTGTTATCGGCGTAACTCTTTTGCCTACTCTGAGTAGTTTTGAGCTTTTCTGGAATTAAAGCAATCTTTTCTGAGGTCACTTGGACAATTTTGAGACCTAACAACCTTTTTTCACCGACCTCATCCGAGCAGATAGGTGCTCGACACTTCCTTCCATACAGGGCTTCAAAAGGTGCCATCTGGATACTAGATTGGAAACTATTGTTATAAGCAATTCTATCAAAGCCAGATGATCCTCCTAGCTCCCCTTGAAATCAATAACACAGGCTCTTAACATGTCTTCTAGGGTTGCCCATCCGTCTGGGGGTGAAAAGCAGTACTAAAAGTGAGTCTTGTTCCCAATGCCGACTGCAAACTGTCCCAAATCTTGAAGTAAATCTAGTGTTCCTGTCGGACACGATACTAACAGGTGCTTCATGTAATCTTATAATTTCTTTAATGTATCGTTGGGCCAATTTGTTCAAAATATACGTTGTACGGATCGGTAAGAAATGAGCTACTTCGTTAGTCGGTCCACAACGACCCAAATACTATCATGTCTAGTAACTGTCCTGGGTAATTAGGAGACAAAATCCATGGTAATGTGCTCCTACTTCCAGTTCAACACGGGCAAGGATTGCAACTGTCCCGGTGGGTTTTTGATGTTCAGCTTTCACTTGCTGACATGTTAAGCACTTGGAAACAAACTATGCTACATCCTTTTTCATATCATTCCACCAGAAAGTTTTCTTCAAGTCCTGATACATCTTAGTACTCCCCCGGTGCACAGTATAATGGGAGTGGTATAAGCTGTTTCACGCCCTCAACATTCAGGATACAAACGCGATCTTTAAATCTTAACCGACCGTCCTCACTAATAGAGAAACATTCTTTTCTTCCCAGCTTTATTTCTTCGAGAATCTTCATAAGTTGGGGATCCTCTTTCTATGCTTTACGAATCTGTCGAAAGTGCTGGGGCTCTGCCCTCATAGTAGTAGTTATTCCTTCCCTAACACTAAGGAGCAGAGTTGAGTTTCACTCCACTACATCTTCTATCAGTTTCATCTCTCGAGTCATCAGGTATGCTACTGATTGCCCGGTTGGTAATTGATAGTACAGTCACAGTCATTCAGTAGATCCATCCATATTCTTTGTCCCATATTTAACTCTTTATGAGAGAATAGATACTTGAGGATTTTATGATCTGTAAATATCTTAAACTGGGTCCCATATAGGTAATGTCTTCAGATCTTCAAGGAAAATACTACGAACGCAAGTTCCAAGTCATGGGTTGGATAATTTTGCTCATACGGCTTCAACTGTCAGGAGGCATAGGCTATAACCTTCCCTCCTTGCATCAATACACATCCAAGCTCTTTATGGGAAGCGTCAATATAGACCACAAGGTCTTCGTTCCCTTCGGGTAAGGTCAATATTGGGGCCGTGGTCAGTCTCTTCTTTAATTCTTGAAAGCTTGCCTCACAATCATCTGACCATTCAAACTTTACCTCTTTCTGAGTTAAGCAAGTCAGGGAAAGCACTATCTTTGAGAACCCTTCAACAAAGCGTAGGTAATAACCTACCAATCCCAGAAAACTACGGACCTCGGACACATTTGTCAGCCTTTCCCACTTCAGAACAGCTTCAATTTTACAAGGTTCAACTGCGACCCCGTCCTTAGAAATAACATGTCCAAGGAAGGCAACACTGGAAAGCCAAAACTCACTTTTCTTCAGCTTAGCATATAACATTTCCGTCTTTAGGGTCTGTAGGACAATCCTCAAGTGTTGTTCATGCTTTTCCAGATTATTTGAATATAATAGAATGTCATCTATAAAAACCACCACAAAATCATCCAAAAAGGGCCTAAACACCCTATTCATCAAATCCATAAAAGCGGTCGGGGCATTAGTTAAGCCGAACGACGTTACCAAGAACTCATAATGTCCATATCGAGTTCTGAATACGGTCTTAGGAACATCTTCTTCTTTGACCCGTAGTTGATGATAACCCGACCAAAGGTCAATTTTAAAAAAACTTGAGCCCCTTGAAGCTGATAAAAAAGATCATCAATTCTAGGCAAGGGGTACTTATTCCTTACTGTGACCTGGTTCAGCTGTCTATAATCTATACAAATAAAACCGGTGCACCCATCCTTATTTTTCACAAATAAAACCGGTGCACCCCATGATGACACACTAGGTTGAACAAATCCCTTCTCCAATAACTATTGCAATTTCTCCTTCAGTTCTTTCAATTCAGCTGGGGCCATTCTGTAACGGGTTTTAGAAATGGGTGCAGTTGCAGGAACCACCTCTATTTCAAATTCTATCTTGCTGACTGGAGGCAGAGTGGTTAACTCTTTAGGAAAAACTTCTGGATACTCCCTTACGACTGGTATCTCATCTAACTTTGACTGGACATCCGGATTCTCTACTACGTAAGCAAGATACCCAACACATTCTTTGACCAACGGAAGAGCTAAGATAAGGTGCATAGGGGAAACATCCTTAATGTCGACAAAATTCAAGGGAGTCTAAAAGTTACATTTTTGTCATAACAAGTCGCATAATGAGCAGACAACCAGTTCATACCCAGAATCACATCAAAGTCTCGGATGTCTAATAGTATCAAGTCTATAGATAGAACACACCCTTCAAGCAAAACCTCACAGTGTTTATAAACAAGATCAGTCTCTATAGATTCTCCCATAGGTGTGCCTATAGTCAATGCCCAGTCAAGAAGTGCAGGCCTAACATTTATGTGGCATGCAAAGTGAGGTGCAACAAAAGAGTGTGTGGATCCAGGGTCAATCAACACTTTATCTTCCATGTTATAGACAGAAAGCGTACCTCAAATCACAGAGGTGGAAGCATTGGCTTCGAGTTCAGTAAGGGCAAACACTCGACCTTGAGTCTTTGTTCGGTCTCCTGGTCCCTTCACAGGACAATCCTTGATCATGTGGTCAGGCTTGCCACACCTGAAACATGTTCTTGTTTTCCTTCAGCACTCGGCCACCAAGTGACTGTCGTTTCCGCAATATGGACAAGCTGGGCGCTGGTTCACTCTTACTTCACCTGAAAAGGTTTTCTGGATCTTCTTGCTTCCTTGATTATTATTTCCCCTGAAAATTCTCTTTAGGGGTGGCTGTGTCCTTCTTCCAAAACTTCTAAACTGAGCTAGTCCCATCCTTCCCTCTTTCCTGAATCGGGACCCTTCATCTTCCCTTTCTATCTTCATGGCTAGATCCACGAGAGGGGAGAAGGTCTTTAAATTCGCCGATATTACCCCCCTCCTTATTTCTGACCTGAGGCCTCTTTTAAACTTACTAGCCTTTAGCGCCTCAGTGTTAATGATATGTGATGCATATCTTGACAATTCAGCGGCTAAGTCAGGGGAGTACTACTCGTTAAAGGCTTCTAAGAAATTTTCTCAGGTAACTTCTGTCCCTGACCTTTCCCAAGATTGCTTTACTGAGCCCCACCAGTGCTCAGCATCTCCTTCTAAAATGAAGGCCCCTAACTTAACCTTATGCTCGTCACTACAAGGCAACACTTCAAATATCTTCTCCACCTGCCTTATCCATCTCTCTGCTTTTTCTACTCCCCCATGCCCTAGGAACGTCGGTGGCGTTAGTCTCCTGAACCTTTCTATTAGTCCACCGTCAGTCTGTTCCAGGGCAGGGGTAACCAAGGTCGGCATATTGTCTTTCATCATTTGAGACATGGCCCCCAATGTTTTGAAGAATTCTCCAAGGGCTTCTATATTCTCGTTACTGAAGTTCTCATTATTAGCACGAGTCCTTCACTTCTGTAATCCTATAACATAGGCACTTCAGTCAGTAGTCTACTCAAAACTATTCTACAGACACCTCTACAATATTCTATGCAAAGAATCCAAACCTGGCAGCTCTGATACCATAACTGTCATGACCCCGAGCCCTGACCCCTCCCCTTCCCAACCAAAGGACGATAAAGTGTGGGATCTCGACCGGAGGTCGCGTACGTCACTCAGGTGGGAGTGGCATCAACACCGGTTATAATTGAGGAATTAAAGCAAACCATGAAAAAAAAAACACATAATCACATGGCCACAGACAAAGCAAAATTGAAACCATTTATATAGATCAAGCCCTCAAAATTCCTTTACAAAGGTTCAAGGTGCTACTGGCCCAATCAACAAAATACAATTCATCAAAATGCATCATGGCACAACCACCAGACACCTACAGTCAAAAGATTCCTAGACAGAACTGGAGCATCAAAGATCTGCTACCACCATCCAGCAGTCCTCACGCGAGCTATCCTCTCCCACTCTACAATGAAGGGAAAAAGAGGGGTATGAGCTAAAGCCCAGTAAGTAGGTCACTATTCTTGTAATCCTGACTATTAGCATATATGTCATAACGTAGCCGATGGATTGTCAAAGACTGTACTGGCATCAGAAAGTAGAGTTATGCATCAGAATATGTACACTAACAGTATAAAGTGAGCATTGTTCAGAAGGCGAAGTATCGAATATTTCCTAGAATGGCAGTTACATTGATGCTTATATCAGCCACAGTCAGATAGTCATACAGAGTACTTAATTTAAACAGACAGAAACATAATCAGAATCATAAATAGAATCAGAAATAGAATTAGGAACATAATCATTTACTCTTGAAGTAGATGTCACATTGATCAGGCTAAGCCAATCCTGCAACTTGAAACTTCTACCCTCATTTGAGAGGGAGGACAACGACAAATGAAGGTCCCATTTTGTAGTTTCCTCACTCACAAGGCTGAGACCTTGCACGACACGATTCTCTTCTTGCGCCTTTAGGCTAGATGGCGTTACACTACCATTGGAGGACCCAATGCGTAGTGCTCAAACCAATTTGAGGGCACGACCCACCCTGTTATTTACAGTTATCTCTCGACTCCACTCCTATCATTGGAGTCAAGGCAGAATCAGAACTTGCTGGCAAAACAGAACTACCAATGGAGGACCCGTTACATAGTGGCCAAAAGTCACAAATAACAGAGTTCATATAACATAAACAAAATATCCATAACTAATGGAGGACCCATTGCGTAGTGGCCACAAGTCACATATAACAGAGTTCAAATAACAGAAACAGAATATCCACTACCAATGGAGGACCCATTGCGTAGTGGCTAGAAGTCACATATAACATACTTCATATAACAGAGCAGAATATCCACTACCAATGGTAGACCCATTGCATAGTGGCCAGAGTTCACATATAAGCGAGTTCATATATCAGAAATGGAATATCCACTACCAATGGAGGAACCATTGCGTAGTGGCCAGAAGTCACATATAACAGAGTCCATATAACAGAAACGGAATATCCACTACCAATGGAGGGGCCATTGCGTAGTGGAAAGACGTCCATATAACAGAGTTCCATGTATATGCATGCATAGCATTCATTCTTTCGTACTTTACTCATTTCAAAAGATCATGAGCACTCAACATTTGTTGGATCATAAGCATGCTAATTAAATCATCTTGTAAAAAGGATTAAGTTGTGTTCAAAAAGAGGCATGCATTAACTTAAAATTTATTGTTAACCTTATCACTCATGGGCATATACAAACTAATGCATGGCACCCAAAATATGAAGGGAAATTCAATTTTCTAGCAGAACAATAGTCGATCAATTGATGGTTTAATATATCGTTTTGATCCTTGCTGAATTCAGCCAATAATGACATACGTTCACAATTCGAAACATAACTTGCAAGACAGCTGGAATTTCAAAACAATTTTAAAATGCAACTTTTAGTAGGAATTCAGAGATTTCAAATGGCTTTATTTTCAAAGCATATGGAGGCCAGCCAAAATTCATGGCCACAGAGACCAAAATCTGCGTTTGCATAAGGTCTGTCAATAGTGACATACTGGAGTATTCTTGAGTATTTCTCTTCATCTACACAGAATTTGGGCAAGGTTAAAACATGAAAATCATAGAAGACTCATGCATCTATCAAATGGTTGTGCTTTTGTGTCATTTGGAATTCAATAGGTTAGGCAAAGTCTTAGTACAACAGAAGCAATATTTCTAGAAATTACCACAGTCTACTAACAATGACATACATGCATAAAATAAAAATATCTTCCAAAGTAGCAGGAATATCAACTGGACATAAACATCAACCTCAAATTAGACTTACAGACTTTCAAATGGTGGGGATTTGAGGCCAAATGGTTATCATTTGCTTAGTCAAAATCTCATTACAAGAACATGTAAAATCCCTGGAAAATCACAGTCCAACCATGACATCCCTTCCAAAATCATCTCCTAACTCTAAATCTATGAAGGGTAACAAAATGAAACCAATTTTAGCTTGAATTAGACACACTAGAGTATCATCCCATAGAAATTTAGGGCCATCAAAAGGGATTTCAGTGCTCATTTTTATCATGCAAAAGAAGGCAAGATTTCTGGAAAATGCAGTCACCATTTTTGCGCATGCTTATACTCAACTAGGCTCGAACCATGCTTTATTCATGTTCCATGCTTATGGGTCTGCAAGGTAGTGATCTACTTACCTTTTGTGTCGCCAAAGTTGATCCCAATCTCCTTCCACAATCCCCTCCACCAATCTTTCTCAAACTCTCTAACAATGGCACAAAGGGCTAAGCTTGAGCATCAAAACGTGAGGTGTAGAGAGAGAAATAATGGTTTTGTACTCCAAAGGTTGGGAGGTGGCTTTCTAGGTTCGCCTAGTGGCCTTTGCAT